GATTGCAAGGTTAGTTTGGATGAAAAAGGCCAATTAGCCAATTGATATCATCCCTCCGAAACACCCACCCTACCATCCATCCGTCACAGCATTTTTCAGTCTTGAGAGAAGAAGACTCATAGGGCACCTCATTGAGGTGTAGACGATTTTAAATGGGATTGAAAAAGTAAACCCAGATAATTACTTTTGATATAGCGCCTTATCACATCTTCGAGACGTCTCAAAGCGACTGTATATTTTGTGGGCGAAACGTGGCAGCCAGTTGCGCACGGCAGCGTCCCACAAACAGCTGTGGATTGACCTTGTGACCAAATTATTATTATTTTTTTTTAAGGAATTATTACCCTCGGAAAAGCAATCCGCAAATTGACTAACAACCGGGTTCCTACTTACTGCTAGGTAAGCAGAGGTGTCGGCAAAAGTTACTCTTGTTGGTATCTGTAACTATTGCATTGGCTTCAGGAGCTATAGAGGTAACACAGAGGGTTTCTCAGATGTACTGCAGAGTTCGGCATCTTGCAGCTTGTCCACGGTTGTTTTAGATATAATAGGGAGCCCAATCTCAGCACTTAATTGTGATTAAACCCATGCGTGGCTCTGGAATCAGTGCAGATAATTGGTCATATTGCTAACTAAAAACAACTTTGATCAGAAGTTATGCAGTCACTTTAATGCACTGTTGTGCCATACATTTTCTCTCTCTTCTTCTCCCTGACACTCTCTCTCGCTCTCTCTCTTACACTCTCTCTAACTTTCTTTCCCTTTCTCTCACATGTTCTCTCTTTTTCTCTGACTGACTCTCACGCCACTGACTGCACATGTAGTAAATGACTAAATTGCACACTTCCCTCATTTGGGTAAATCACAAACCAGGTAACACCTGGCACACAACTTTCCTTTTAAACCAACATTGCAGCTCCACTTTATTCCGCATCCAAACCCCAATACAGATAAATTGACTGTCACAATTGTCTTAGCGATCATATCCAATAGGCTTGAGCGGAGCGACTGGGCGCAGCTGAGATTGGTAGCTATTTTGGAAGCGGGGTATCTTTTTAGACGTAGATATAATCTCTGCTCATTTCCATTAGACAGGAGTCCTGTAGCTCAGTGGTTAGAGCACTCGCTTTGCAAGCGAGAGACCTGAGTTCAATTCCAGGCAGAGGGCGAAACCTTGGGCAAGTTTCCTTACTCCACACAGAGCCTAATAATAATCCCTCCAAAACAAAAACAATAATAAATTGGTCATGTTCAATCTACGACTGTTTGTGGGACATTGCTGTGCGCAATTGGCTGCCGCGTTCGCCCACAAATATACAGTCAATTCACTTTACAGTGTGTTCTGTGAAGCGCTTTGGGACGTCCTCCCGACGTGAAAAGCGCTATATCAAATGCAAGGATTATTATTATTATTATTAAATAGCGAACTTGGATAGGAATGAATCTGGGTATTACTTGGATTTCGTCAAGTCTACGTCATGCACTCGAGGGAATATGTTCACCTTTCTCTAACTTCAATTGATCACAAAACTAAATCCCCATCTGAACGAAGATTTATATACGTTTCAAAACATTTAATAGATAATTGTTTGGTGCAGTGAGCCCTTCTTACTTCAGGGATTTGACTTTATTTAAATTCAACCAAGGCTGATGAGTAAAAAGTCTTCTGTGAGCTATAAGGCTCCTAAGGGACATGAGTTTGGGCATTCTTAACCCAATTTCCTGTATCTAACAGGCACACAGCACAAAACTACCCAGGATTTGATACAAATTAGCATAGACATTTGGAAGTATTCCACAGAGGAAGGATAAAGATGGTTTATGTGGATTGCAGAAAGATGACACTCTTCCAGGAGGGGGTGCTATTTGGGGCTTGAGGCTGAAACTCATTATTGTTGAGCAGTGGAGGCAGCTTTGCTCTGACATTAACAACGCTAAACCTGAGCCAAGGACGTTGAACACTGCAAATGTTGCCCAAAGCAGAAAAGTGCTTTATTTCCCAGCAATGAAAATCCCTAATCTCAATGAGCACAAACAACAATTTGCCTTTATACAGCCTTTCCCACTGAGAGGACTTTTCAAAGTGCTACACACAGCTGACTGGAAGCCCGTGGGAAGTTGAGGTGGTGTTGGGGGGGAAGGAAAGGTGTCTGAAAGTTCAGTCAAAAAGATGGATAGGACAGAGTTCCCAGGGTGGTAGGGTCATAGGAAATTAAACCTGTGACTTGAAAAATATTATTTTCTTCCCCCCCTCCACCCTCTGTACTTATGGATCCATTCAGAGATATTTGGTCCCTTTATCTTATAGATATTAGACATTAGATGTAAACATTAAACTGAGGTCCCGTCTGTCTGTTTGGTTGAACGTTAATCATCTCATGGCACAACTCGAAAAGAAACATTTCTCCTAGTGTCCTGGCCAACAACCCTGCTTGTGGGACATTGCCATGCACAAATTAGCTGCATGTTAGCCGAAAAATACAGTCACTGCACTTCCTGTGGAGTCCTTTGTGATGTCCTCTTTACGTGAAAGATGTTATACCAAAAGCAAGTAATATTACTTTTTATTATTATTATTATTTCGAGAGAGACCTGGATTCGATTCCCGGCTGGGCGAAACCTTGGGCAAGTTTCCTTATTCCACATGCCTGATAATAATCCCTCAAGAAAAAATAAATAGATAATAATTATTAAATAAATAATAATGTTTGTGGGACACTGCTGTGCGCAATTGGCTGCGCGCAAATATATAGTCAATTCACTTTACAGTATATTCTGTGAAGCGCTTTAAGACATTTAGAAGACGTGAAAATGCTATATCAAATGCAAGGATTATATTATTATATTATTATTATCGATTGCTAGCTGATATCAGGCATCTGAGTTCAGAACAGAGTCTGAGGAAGATGAGAATTTTTACACTTAAGAAGTGTAAGTGATATTGTTAGGAGTTGTCGTGTTATGTGTCTCATCTCATAGATTAAGATAAATAATAAATTGATACAGCATGTTTCATGTTTCATGTTTCATGTCAGGAGAGCATCTTGAAGTGCTTTGTAGGATTTACTGTAAATTTACGCACATTTATATAGGTGAAGATCTCAATGGACATATATAAACTGAGCTTCTAATAATATGTTTAATATGGTCAACCAATCTAGAACAAGGGGACCGAATTTGAGCTCAGAAAAGAGAAGTTACGATTTAACTACATTTTGTGGTGGTGAATGTGGACTAAATTACCCAGATACTGAAAATTAGTTGTGTCAGGAAATTCAAAAGAGGAATTAGGTAGCAATTGAGAAAAAAAAGTTCGAGTACGATACATTTGCAGAATCATATCTTTAAACATGGAGTCATTAATTCCCTCCCTTTGTTCAAGACCCATCTCAAAATGTACCTCATTGACTATGGTTTCAGACATCTTTCCCCTTTCCAACCGCCTTGGCTCTCATCTCCAGCTCGGGGTGCCCGTCCATTGTCAAGTGTTTGAAACATCCCTCCAGAAATAATAATAAATAATATTCCTTAGATTTGGTATAGCACCTCTTACATCAGGAGGGCATTTCAAAGTGTTTCATGGGGTTTACTGCAAAGTGTAGTGACCTGCCTATTTGCCAATTTGCTCAGAGCAATGTCCTCAAACAGCCATGACCAATATTATTTGAGCGATTGTTAGCCAGGACACTGGGCACTATATAATTGTAAATTGTATTGTATATTTCATTCCTTGGTCTTTAGTCTCTTGCAGCCTTGTACAATCCCATGTGTCCTACATTCATGTGCTGTTAGTTGACTGAAAAAGCTCAGTCCTGTCACAGAAGCCAGTGCCCACAGACCCTGCAGGGGACTAATAGTTGCCTGTCATTTCTATCCATCCTCTCGTTGCCAACTCCTATGATGAACAATTAAGAAAACACAGCTCTGGATCTTTCTGTAATTACCCCTCTTAACACCCTGTTGCGTGTGTGACACTAATTACAACCATTACTGACTTATAAATGCAGAAATTATCTTTCCACTTAATGCAAATGCGATGGCCCTGTGCTGTTTGATATCGGTCATTCCTTGGACTCATTTGCAGAAACTTTTGAACAGCTTATCTCTGCGGCCGTGAAATCGTCTTTTGCTAAGTTTTTGGGTCAAGAGGGGAATCTGACATGTGCAGAAACCCGTTATCTCGCTTAAGCACATCTAAACCAGACAGAATTCCATACATGCCATCTACATCTAGAAATTCCAGTGTTTGAGAGTAGCCTATTGGCTCTACCCAGAGAGTTTGGATCTTCACCTTATATCTCTTAAACCACACGATAATAATCTTTGTATTTGATATAGCGCCTTTCAAATTGGGAAGACATCTCAAAGCACTTCCCAGGTTTTACCTTAATCTCTGTATGGGTAGGCTAATTTGACAGGCACTTTGCACACAGCAAAAACCCCACAAATAGTTATTAAATGAATGATCAATTTCATCTGCGGGATTGTTAGCCAGGACACAAGAAGAAACTCCCTTCTCTTTTTGAATAGTGTCAATGGTGTCTTTAAAATCCACCTGAACAGCCAGATGGGACCCTGGATTGACATCTCCTGTGAAGCGCTTTGAGACGTGCTCCTAACATGAAGGATGCTATATTAAATGCAAGGATTATTTTTTAATTTGTTCTTAGAATAGATTTTGATTAAAAAAAATCGTTTAGACCTTGTCCTGGAAGCTGTGTGATGTTTGGGGATAATTTGTGATATTATTAGTGGGATTTCGTTGTCGATACGTTTAATCTATGTCACCCGTTAACCCTAAGACTCTGCTCCACACTTTAGCTTACGTGTTTAATGTAACTTTGATGCAAGCCACTCATCCTCAGCTATGAAAACGCTGATTGAAGCACTCAGCACACTCCACAATAGCCACATGCACAGAAAACATTTTGATTGGATACACTACATTGCTCACTTCATTTTAGAGAGGAAAGTGCACAGTACTTTCCCCTCATAAGTGGAATTCTGTAGCTCAGTGGTAAGAGCACTCGCCTCCTAAGCGAGAGAAACTGGGTTCGATTCCCAGCAGGGTGAAACCTTAGACAAATTTCCTTACTCCACACGCCTTTGTTTACCTAGCAGTAAGTAGGAACCCTTATTATTATTATTATTATTGTGAGTTGATTGCCAGATCGCTTTTCCGGGGGTAATAATTCCTTCAAATGTTTTGAAAAAAAATAATAAATTGGTCAATCAATCCACAACTGGTTGTGGGACACTGCTGTGCACAATTGGCTGCTGTATTTCGCCCACAAAATATACAGTCATTTCACTTCACAGTATATTCCATGAAGCGCTTTGAGAAGTCTCAAAGATGTAATAAGACACTATGTCAAATGCAAGGATTATTATTATTATTAGACAAATCACTGTCATTCCACTTGCAATCATAAAAATGTAACCAGTACAAAACTTGTGCAACAGTTTTTGCTCAGACCATTCTACGCACCGAGTACTTCCATCTCTTATACAGTGACATAAATGTAAAGGCTGGGTAGGGTGAACAAGCAGCGGAAAGCTTGTCAAACAGCAATATCAATGGCAAACTTTGTGGTTTTAGCTGGTTAGACTCCAGAGGTACCCCTACACACACTATGGGGTCCCCAAGCCTTGTCTCTTCCCAACCTGCTCTTAATGCTTTCTGGAATTAGATAATCAGGATGTGTCTCACCAGGGAGAGAGTGTCCATTCCATTGCAACAATCCATCTCTGGGATTTCCATGTGTAGGTGGGTTGCATGGAAATCTCATCTTGGTTTGGATATTCTTAAGCACGGTAATGGGTTTCTGCATGTGTCAGACACCCGGCTGACCAAAAAAAGGAAACACTAAGCACCTGCAGAATGTTTGCAGATCATTCAACTTGTACTGAAGTGTTAAACTTGGGAAAATCTAGCAATGACATTTATAATCAGCAAAAGTGACACAGATAGAGAGAGAGCTGGTTTTACTTTTGAAAGTAACCTATATCAAAGCCCATCACATTTTTAAACCTGGATGACTAATTTAATGACACATGGCAATCCAGACTAGATGACGAAAGTATAAAATTAGCTTGCCTCAAAAAGAAATTGGTGTTCAGATGACTTTCGTGTGTCAACCTGGTTCAGTGATAGCTTAACGCTTGCTTGAACTCAGATAGTCTAAGCTGACACTCAAATGCAGCACTGGGGAGCGGTTGGAGTAGCTGTCCTTTGGATGAGATGTTAAAACAGGCCCGTCTGTCTGTCATGTCGCTGTTAAAGATCCCATGGCATTACACGAAAAGAGAAGGGAGTTTCCCTTGACGACAATCTTCCAAATAAAATTGGTCATTTCTTTTATGGCTGTTTCTGGGACATTGTTGTGCACAATTGGGCTGCTGTGTTCGCCTACAAATACGCAGTCACTCCATTTCCTGCGCTTTGGGACATCCTCCCAACGTGAAAGATACTATACCAAATGCAAGGATTAATATTTTCTCTCATATATAGTGGTTATATGTAAAATAAGTTCCCAGCAAATGCTGTGAATACTTAGCTCAGACAGTGGAATAGAATACTATAGTTCCTAAATGACATGTGTACTTCAACGAGCCCAACAAGGGTTAAATAATGGTGAGTGTAAATTTACCTAGTTATTCCAAGATTGTTATATTAGGCTGAAAATTGTAATGTGTGGCGGAATAATTATTCTAATGATGCAAACTACAGTCAAACCAGTCAATTGCCAAGGATTTGCATAGGTTCTGCCCCAATTCCAATTTAGACAACGGTTGCGTCCAAAGCAGTGGTGGCTGCTGCAGAAACCAGGATTTTAATGCCATTGGATTGAGTTAAGACAGTACCTCATGAAGCCGCACTCAAATGGTCCACCATTCACAGGATCCAGCTGATCCAAAATGCTGCCACCTGAATACTCACCCACACTAAACTCCGTACCTCCATCACACCAGTTCTAGCCAAGCTCCACTGGCTCCCTGTCACAGAACAGATCAATTTCAAGATCCTCACACTCATTTTCAAATCCCTTCGTGCTCTGGAACTTCCCTACCTCTCTGACCTGCTTATCCCCCCCATTAAACAACCTGCTGCCTCCACTCAACTGGTTTCGGCCTCCTGCAAGTCCCTCGTGCCCTCTACTCTACCATTGGTGGTCATGCTTTCAGTCGCTACGCCCTGAACCTCTGGAACATTCTTCCTCTGTCCCTCCGTCTTGCCCCTTCCTTCTCCATCTTCAGGTCGGGCCTGAAGACCTTCCTCTTCGACCGTGCCTACTGTTACCTCCCCCTCCCCGCAGCTCAGCTTCGTGCTCCGCCACTGTCAAGTGCTCTGGGGTGCTTCTCTGCGTGAGGACGCTTTATGAATGCAAATTATTGTGGTAATTATCACATGTCAGAAGACATTTATCACCCCAAGTCGATAAATGGGTCAACAGTTGATAACTAAAGACAACTTCCACACCAACCCTCAACTCTGTGACTGTGGTTCAATCCAAAAACCACCAATATACCATGATTGATTTATGAGTAATATTAATATAATAATCTTCACATTTTGTATAATGCCTTTCATGTTGGGAGGATGTCTCAAAGTGCTTCACTGGATTCACTGTTAAGTGCAATGACTGTGTTTTGTGGGTGAAAGTGGCAGGTGACTTGCACACGGCAATGTTCCATAAACACCCATGGAGTGAGTGGTTTTATTGGGGGGGGGGGGGAATTGCTGGCCAGGAACACCGGGAGAAATTTCATTATGTGTCTGAGCAGTGCCATGGGATCTGCCCAATGAAAAGCAGACGGGACCTCAGTTTAACATCTTGTCTGAAGGACGGCACTTCCAACAATGTAGCCCAAGGCGAGCACCATGTTGGGAGTGTCAGCGTAGACTCTATGAGTTCTAAATCCCAAAGAGGGGCTTGAACCCACAACCTTGTATTTTAGAGATGAAAGTGCTACAAACTGAGCCAGGCTGACACGATTAATAATGGAATTTTTTTGGCCTGCAGAAATGTTTTTAAACCCTTACACTGAGGCCACCCTTTCACGAAGGCCACTTTAATCCAGTCCCCCAAGTGGTTGCTCAAATCAGGTTCAAAACATAACGCAGCAATTTTGTTTTATCCCTGCAGCTTATTTGGGGAATGCTCAGGAAATAAGCGTTTTGAGTACAATGCATGCAGTTGGGAGCTCTGGACTCTGACAGGGAAAGTATTGGGCTCAAAGGTTAGTGGTGATCACTCGTCTCGTTTAGAAATCTCTGGGACAGCTCCAATGATGTATCAAATTGAGGTGCGGGTCACGGATCAGGAGCTCGTTGGATCAAATTGTGGTCATTGCTAGATTTGCTAGTTTTAGCTGGGGCTGCGGTGAGATGCTGAACTGGCCCTAGCATTCCCAGGATTCCTGCTCCACCACAACACCCTTCGCGTGTGGCACCCGGATGGTGAGTGATTTGGCTGTGATGCTCTTTGCAGTCGAGCGACTCATTGGCAAGGCTCACACATACACAGTGGTCACATGGACGGGGTAATAATATTAGAACTGAACCCTCCCAAGAGGAGGCCAGACCAGGAGCAGAGAGGCGCACACCAGGCGTGGAGTCCTGTAGCTCAGTGGTTAGAGCACTCGCCTCGCAAGCAAGAGGACCTGGGTTCGATTCCCAACAGGGCGAAACGTTGAGCAAGTTTCCTTACTCCACGCACCTCTGTTTACCTAGCAGTAAGTAGGAACCCGGTTGTTAGTCGATTGGAGGATCACTTTACTGGGGGTAATAATTCCTTACAAAAAAAATTGCTCACACAATCCACGAATGTTCGAGAGACGCTGCTGTGCACAATTGGCTGCCGTGTTTCGCCCACAAAGTATACAGTCAATTCACTTTTCAGTGTATTCTGTGAAGCACTTTGAGACGTCACGAAGATGTGATAAGGCGCTACATCAGATGCAAGGATTATTATTATTACTATTATTATTACAACCGTGGGGAGAAAATTAAAAAAAATAATTGGACACTTTTTAAAAAAAAATAAAGTAAAATGTAGAAGTCTGAAGCAAACTGGATTTTCTCTTCTATTAATCTAGGACACTGGTGAATTCTGTGCACACAGGTCATAGATTATGTCTGACAGACAACTATACACAGACAGATGGGCTTCCCAATGGTTTTTGTAGTCAGTCCTTACAGGCATCACTGAAAAATGCTGGTACTTCACAATCCTGGACACACTCCAGTAACTCACAGTTCAGGTATGCTGAGTCCTGTTTCTGTTCATTCACCTTGAGTTATGTGGACATGATTTATGGATCAGGAATCATCCTGCGCTGGGAGGTTAGACATCTTTGCTTGTGTAAAGTGGATCCTGTAGAGCCATCGACAGTGGCAGCGATTGATTAATACAAATGCTCCATGGGAGAAAGGGAGAATTAGTCAGCAGTTATTAAGTATCAGCAACGATAGTCTTATTTTTATGATACTACCCTAATTAGTTTCCTTTTTTTTGTAATTCCTGAATCCCCACGGTGTAAATTTACAGAATTTAACAGAAGGAAATTCACGTTTCAAGTCGGAATACAAGTCGGAAGCGACACAATAAGTGTACAAGAGAAGTGCCCACAGCAAGCGGAAGGAAGAGCTGTAGAAAAGGACGTGATGCTAAACAAATTGATGGAACTCAAAGAGGACGAGTCACAAAGGCCTTGTGGCATCTGAGAATGTTGCAGGAAGTCAGGAGGAAATAGGAGATGGTCTGACTGCAAAGATTTGAACATCCTTGGATTCAAAAATTTTAACAGGAGACTGGAGGGCAGCTAATGCAACATCTCCATTTAAGAAGGGGGAACGGGACCAACCGAGTAATTATAGACTAGTCAGTCTAATATTCACATGGAAGCAAACTTGTAAAAACTATAATATCAATAACCACATGGAAAGACATGGATTGATTAAAGACAGCAAGCGTGGATGTGATGAAGGCAAGTCTTGCTTGACAAAACAGATAAAGTGTTTTGACAAATTAACTGAGAAAATAGATGAAGGTAATGCTGTGGATGTGGCA